TCTCAGGGCATCTCAGGGCGCTCACCTCCGGCGTCTCAGGGCGCTCACCTCCGGTGTCTCAGGGCATCTCAGGGCGCTCACCTCCGGCGTCTCAGGGTGCTCACCGCCCGCGTCCTCTGCACTCACCTCCCGCGTCTCTGCACTCACCTCCTGTGTCTCTGCACTCACCCTCCCGTGTCTCTGCACTCACCTCCCTGCACTCACCTCCCGCGTCTCTGCACTCACCTCCCGCGTCTCTGCACTCACCCCCCCGTGTCTCTGCACTCACTTCCCTGCACTCACCTCCCACGTCTCTGCACTTACCTCCCTGCACTCACCTCCCTGCGCTCACCTCCCGCGTCTCTGCACTCACCTCCCGCGTCTCTGCACTCACCTCCCTGCGCTCACCTCCCGCGTCTCTGCACTCACCTCCCTGCGCTCACCTCCCGTGCCTCTGCACTCACACTCACCTCCCACATCTTGCGTCTCCAGGCGCTCACCTCCCAGGTCTCACTTCCTGCGTCTTTGTCTCACCTCGCACAACTCAACTCTGCACTCACCTCCCGTGTCTCAGGACACTCATGGCCTCCCACCTCGCCTCTGGCGGAGTCTCAGTGCTCACTGCCCATGTCTTGCTCCACCCCCCTGTACTTCCTTTTCTTTCTGATTACTGGGTCTAAAGGTGTTTTCAAAGCAGATCTCGATGTGGCAAACCTCAAAAGGACTTGTCTCCACGAGGTCATCGTCCTCCACCTGCACAAGAAATGATCGTTTAGTGGACTATAAAACTCTGAGCTTGAAACTTCTCCTTCAGCACTTCCAAAGTGACCGTCTAAGATCTTGCATTCATGGTTGCTGTTGAAAATGCTGGTGTCAATAGAATTTTTATTTCTTTGAAAGTATCAGCTGAGTTACACGACCACAAGGCCCCACCGTAGGCCATCTGTAAGCTAAGGAAAAAGGAGAACCAGTCAGAGTCTCAAAACTGAAGCACTGGGAGTATGAGAAAGACGTGGGCTGGGAGGCGAGGCCTGTCTCTTCTTTTCACGTTTTTCTGCTGCTTTACATTTGCTGCAGCTGACTAGATGATGCCCACCCAATTAAGGGTGGTCTGCCTTCCCCAGCCCACTGACTCAAATGCTAATCTCCTTTGGCAGGACCCTCCCTGACACAGCTTCAGTCCAGTCAAGTTGCAGTTCCTGGGCTGTAATGTGCTTAGGTTTTCCTGTATTGCCTCCAAGCAACACCTTCACTCAGGATTGACACTTTGTATCCAAATCAAGCTGACCTCTGGGTTTTAACCATGTGTTTTTGCTCTCTCTGTTGACTCTGAGTGAGCCTTCTAATTCCAGAAAAATGTGGCTCATTGTTTCTCAGCTGTTTTCTGCACTCCAATTGTTTCTCTCCTGCTGGAGTTTGAGGAGAGACGAGGATGCTGATAACGTGCGTGCCCCCTCAGCCCTCAGAGCTCTGGACAGAGTCCTCTGTGCTCCCTCCCTCAAGCTGTCCGCGGCCAGCTGCATCTCACTCCCATCCAGCAAGTCCTCTGCACCTGCTACTTTTTCTTGCCCTTTGTCTTTGGCAGAGGTGTCTTCAGGGTCCCTTCCCATTTCCTGGCCTCTCGCTCTGTCTCTGCAGTGTCCGTAGTTCCTGGGGAGTGTGGCATGGGCTGCGAGCCTCCTCGCCCGGGCTGCCTGTGGATTCCGCCACAGCCAGGACGCCTTGCTCGGCCATTTTCTGTCTTCAGAAGCCTGGCTTCCCTACGGTCCAGGTTCCTCTCGGGTCTTGAGCCCCTTCTTACCGGCAGGCCCACGGGAGGAAGGGCTCAAGTAAGGCGGTAGTTGCTCCTGCAGCAGGTTTGGGGAGGTGGGTGATGCCCTTTGTCCTCATCCATAGGCTGCCTGGCACCTCCTGTGCCCTCTGCCATCTCGATGCCCCGGGACACCAGCTTAGCCTCTGGGGAGTACAGGCACCTGCCCTGACCGAACGGTGCCATCACGGTCAGGGTGAGCCCCACGGGGCAGCCTGAGAACCAAGTCCAGGCCATGGCACAGGAGGAGGCGAGAAGCAGGTCAGGGCCCAGCAGTGTTGGAGAATCTCCTTGTCCACCTCGGGGACTTTGGGTGCATGCTGGGCTGCGGAGGCTGGTGGCCTTGTCCCTGTCATCTCTGTGGGGGTGGAGATGCGGCCATAGCCTTGTCTTGCTAGTGGCAGGGTGGGCCGTCTGCAGGGGGCACTCTGGACAGCATCATGCTTGTTGGAGCTCAGCCTCTGCTTGGCAGCCGGTAGGAGGGAGTTGCCAGGGCCAGGGCCATGGTCCAGCGGCCCCCGTGGTTCTCATAGGCACCTGCTGAAGCTGTGGCGCAGCCCCAGACATTTCTTCGGGGACACAGGCTGGAATCCCCGCTAATCTTAGATTTTACCTCGGTGCAAGATGTGGGTTGGAACCCTGTCTGGAGGTGCACACCTCTTCCTCTTTGAGGACCAAGTGGCTGCCACCTCGGGCCTGGGGACTGGGGAGGCCTGCAGGCTGCCTGCATTTCACCACCAGAGCCTGAGCTGCTGGGGCTGTGGGCACAGGGTGCAGGGTGGCCTGGGCTCTGACTGCTGCCCAGCTCCTGGACAGCCTGGTGAATCCGTCTTCTCAGGCTGGCACTTTTGCAAAGCCAGGCAGCACAGTGTGTAAACAGTGTGGCCTCTAGCCGGGACTGCCAGAGCCCTTGCCACTCGCTGTGTTCTGCAGAGCGTGGCTTGAGCTGCTCTGTGCCTCACCCTTGCCCATGAGGTCAGATAGCGGGTCCCAGCTCAGGACCGTGGGAAGATGGAGCGAGCGTGCTGACGTGTAGGTGTGTCCTCTCTGCTCAGTCTGGCGGGATGTGCCTAGCGAGTTGTGGGGGTGGTGGCAGGAGTTGACACATGTTTGTTTCAGGGCTGGAGGTGACGCCCGAGAAGGACCCGGCTGCACGGGGCTTGCGGATGAGGATGAGGAGGGACGAGGAGGCGTCGGACCCCACCTCTGCAGCTGCTCAGTTGCGGTGGCTCCAGGACCACTTGCCCCGACCCTCGTCTGCCAGGTGACTCCCAATGTCCTATGTGCTAAGCCCCCTGCCCGGCACTGCCACAACTCCTGTCCAGAGCACCGGCCGGCCCCAATAGGCTGCTAAGGGCCTTCTCTGGCTGTCTTGGCGGAAGCCTGGAGTCTGCACCCTGACTGGGCGAGCAGTACTGGTGCCGTGTTTGGGCTTGTCAGTGCCAGCATCAGCTGGAGCCTGGGTGGGGCTGAGCCAACAGATACCCTTCCCCTTCCAGGCACTGCTCGTGCCTCTGAGAGGCGTCCCCAGGGCTGGGGTTTGAGAGGCAGATGTCAGCTCACCCCTGTACCAGGGTGAAGGACTGCAGACCAGAGGCCCACAGTTGGCTAGGGCCCACAGCTTCTCACAGGACCTCCGTAGTGGCTCTGAAGCCCAGGCCCTGTGCGGGCGGAAGCCACTGCTCATGTGAGCGAACCCGAGGCCCCAGCCGTGCTGTGGGGGTGGGGAGGCAGAGGCAGGTGGCTGCAGCACACGTGTAGTCAGCACGTCCCGTCTGCTCCTGTAGCCCCTCCGGAGTGTTGCTGGAGCCAGAGGAGGCCCAGAAGCTGGCGGCAGAGCGGGCCCGGGCGCCTGTGGTGCCCTACGGCGTGGACCTGCACTACTGGGGCCAGGAGCTGCCCACAGCCGGGAAGATCCTCAAGTGAGTCCCCGGGCGTCTGAAGTTGACCAGGGCACACAGCCAGGGCCCCTGCCTGGGGAGGGTGCTGCCAGCTTGCCAGGCCTCCCTGGTTTAGAGGAAGCTGTCCCCGCCGTCCAGCTCTGCCTACCTTCCGGGTGCCTAAAGGGACACGGGTGGGCCTCCCCTGCTGAGCTGGCTTGTGGAGCCCAGTAGGGCTTTTCTGAGCCTTTCTGCTGCTGTGTCAGGGCATCCCTGGAGCTTGGGTGTTATCCTGCAGGAACAGCCGGATGAGAAGCCACTCCCCTAAAGGCGGCCCCAGGGCCTGCGCTGTGTGTCCCACTTCACCACCGCACAGCTGCCGACGCTGGGGCTTCCTGCCGCACCAGGGCTGCTTGTGGTGACTCTGTGCCCACACCTCAGATGGGGGTGCTGCAAGGAGCCTCAGGAAGCTGCCCTCTTTGCCCGCTTCCCCCTCGGCACCCCCCACCGCACTGGCCTCTTCTCTGGGGAGCTGCAGCAGAAGGGGGTACACAGGAATCATCTGCTTAAGTCTGGGCTGCTGGGCCTCAAGGGCCACCTGAGTAGTCCAGCCCCTGCCAGACCTCACTGGCATGGCTATCGGGGGAGCAGGGCCCCTGCCGCCTCCTCAGCTCCCACCCCAGGACAGTTCTACACACGGGAGGTGAGCCTGCTCCTGCACCCCCCCAGGTGAGCCCATGTCCCTTAGGGGACAGAAGTGGTGGGTACCCCAGCCTCTCACCAGTCCTTGCCATCAAGACCCAGGGCCAGTGTGACACAGGCAGAGGCTGGCTTTTGATGCAGGGAATATTGCTGTCCCCACAGCACCTGTGATGGCTCAGCTTGAAGGGCTGGGCTCCATGTGCAAACACCGTAAACACACAAGCTAATGCTGTGGGGTCTGCAGGGCTGGGAAGCGCACCGTGATGTGGGAACATCTCATCTTTGTGAGGCACCGACCTCAGAATCTCTGGAGAGAGTGGGGGCAGGGACAGGGAGCATGCAAGGGTCCTCGGGCAGCCTGAGGAGCCCTGTGTGTCCAGGGCAGCCACCGCCTCTTCCTGGACACCCAGCAATGGGCCCCAAGTACCTGTCTGTCCTGGTGCGTCGTCCACCACTGCTTGTTCCCTGGTTTCTGCTGGGCTCGCTCACGCGGACAGGACAGTAAGAGAGGCAGACTCTGGCCTCATTCCGCAGGACTAAGATCTCAGGGCCCTGTCCTCGGGGCTGCAGAGACGCTGCCCATAGTGGGGGCCAGATTGTGGCAGTGCAGGGAGGGAGGGGCTGGGCAAGTAGGAAGTAACAGCCATCCCTGCCACACTTTGCCACCAGGGATGCCCCAAGGCCAGCACTTGGTTTCTGAGCCTGGCAGGTGATGCCTGGCAAAGCTTCCACCTAGAAGCAGACGCCCCTCTTATGCCTGCCTGGCCTGGCCCCAGTACCCCGGACTTTGCCCTGAGCCCCTGGGCAGTTGCGCCAGGTGAGAAACCTGAACAGCTTCCGGGTGAGGACCCGGTTAGTCCTGGATTGCACCAGGACCCTGCTGGGCAGGCCTGGCTTCGCGCTGCACCTGCATGGCCTGTCAACACCACCCACCTGGTGCTGCGAGCTCACGGTTTCACGTTTCCCCCACCTGCCCACAGACCTGTGCGGGGCCAGCTTGATGGTCGCCTGCACATGGGAATGGCCCAGGCTGGGGAAGGGCCCATGTCAGCTTCGTGGGTGGGGGTGTGTGGCTGGTGCAGGAGACACCACCTGGGTGTCGCGTGTGCTCACAGCCAGTTGAGGGCCACACTCCTGGCTGGCCCCTAGCCAGGATGGCAGAGGCTGCTCACACCATATTCCATCACCAAGAGGAGGGGTCCTGCCCTTCAGCTCTCAGCCCCATCTGGGGACGTCAGAAAGCCTGGGCTTATCCCTTTCATTCAGGGGTAAGACAGTGCAGCTCTGGGAGGCCAGGGCTGAGCCAATCTGTGGCGGGTGGCCGGGCTGACGGGACTGGCACCCCCAGGCCCTGGAAACAGCTCTTTCCCCACAGCCTGTGGAAAGACCCCTCCCTTCGAGGCCTGGTACACAGGAGGCCGTGGTCCCGGCTGGGTGTGGTACTTAGGCCTGGAATCCCAGCACCGTGGGAGGCCGAGGCGGGCGGGTCACCTGAGGCCAGGAGTTTTGAGATAAGCCTGGCCAACGTGGCCAAAATCCCTTCTCTACTAAAAATACAAAAATTAGCTGGGCGGGGTGGTGTGTACATGTAATCCCAGCCACTCGGGAGGCTGAGGCAGAAGAATCACTTGAACCTGGGAGGTGGAGGTTGCAGTGAGCTAAGATCGAGCCATTGCACTCCAGCCTGAGTGACAGAACAAAGTACTGTCTCAAAAAAAAAAAAAAGAAGGCTGGGCCAGGCGCAGTGGCTCACACTTTTAATCCCAGCACTTTGGGAGACTGAAGTGGGCAGATCACCTGAAGTCGGGAGTTTGAGACCAGCCTGACCAATGTGGAGAAACCCTGTCTCTACTAAAAATACAAAATTAGCCAGGCGTAGTGTCACATTGCTGTAATCCCAGCTACTCATGAGGCTGAGGCAGAATTGCTTGAACTTGGAAGGCCAAGGTTGCAGTGAGCTGAGATCACGCCACTGCACTCCAGCCTGGGCAACAAGAGTGAAACTCCGTCTCAGGAAAAAAAAAAAAAAAAAAAAAGGCTGCTGGGCCTTGGCGAAGGCGTGCAGAGGGGAGTATCCCTGCTCCTGGACAGGTAGGAAGCGGTGGAGCCTGTGGTGTGCTGGCTCCTAAGTGTCCCCTCTGCGACCCACAGGGCGTTTCGTCCTGTCGGAGTTCTGGGTGGCGGAACTTGTCACTGCTTCTCATACAGGGCGTCTCCTGGTGTGGCAGGGGGCGTTTGGCCCAGTGGTCAGTCACCCTCGGGGAGCCACATGTATCCTTGACTATGGGGCACATGGCCAGGTGCTTCTCATCCTGCTGGGGCTCTGCCCAAGATGCCTCTCCCTGTAGTGGGGCCAAGGCCCTGGGTGGCACGTGCCTGCATTCCCACTCGCTAACTGCCTGAAGGCCCTGCAAGCGTGAGACCCCCTTATCCCAACCCAGCCTCACCCCAGACCAAGGTGGAGGCAGAAGTGAGGTCCAGTGGCCCCGGAGCAGAGCCTCCTTCTCCCTAGCATGGGCTGTGCCTTGGGCTGTGCTGCTGTCTGCCAGCCCAGGGCAAGGGCGGGGATACTGGGCTCTAATCCTCCAGCACCCTTGGGCATAGAGCGTGGGAACCTGGGAGCCATGGGCAGAGCCAGCGGTCACCTTGTCAGGAGGCAGCGGGCAGTCTTATCACTGGGAGCCCTTGGCACTGCCCATCTGTCCTCCCCAGTTCCTGCTGGCCCCAAGCGTGGCTGTGTACCCTGGAAGGAGGCCTGGTGGTGGCACAGGGGCACCTGGGTCTGTGTGAGGGCCCCTCAGTCACTTCTCCCCTGCCTAGGCATTCAGGTGGGCGGGGGTGGAGTCCTCTACTGCCAGCATGCCCAGCTCCCCATTCTGTGGCATCGCAGGAAAGCGTCTTCAAACAGGCTGATGACAACAGCAGAGCATGGGCCTGGACACACCTGGGAGGCCTGGGAAACCCGGGACAGTGGAGTCCAGTCCCCAGCGCCCGGCCCTCTGTGCTACCAAGGGCTGAGTAGTCTGTGCTCTTTCCCCTGGGTGCGCTGCCGCCCTGTCTTCACGCCCCTGTGGTGGAAGGACGACCTTCCTGTGGACGTCCTGTCAGCCCTCAATGTCATGCCTCAGGGCCCAGTGACCGCCACCCTTGTGCTACAGGGAGAGCCCCTCCAGCAGGTGGCAGTTGCCCCCATGGATTGAGGCTGGTTCATGCAAAGTCAGAATTCAGACCCACGTGGGAGTGACTGTTCTGCTTCCGGGTGGTGCTCTCCGAAGCATTGGGGTGGCTGGGCTGTAGTGGTGTTTGGCCATCCCCTACGCCTACACCACCCCAGCCACGCTCTTCTGGGGTCCCTGCAGATGCGGTGAGGATCTCTGGCTCTCTCTGCAGGTCTGACTCCCAGCACCGCTTCTGGAAGCCCAGCGAGGTAGAGGAGGAAGTGGTCAACGCCGACGTCTCCGAGATGCTCCGTAGCCGCCACATCACTTTTGCAGGGACGTTCAAGCCAGTGCAGCACCGGTGCCGCGCCCTGAGGCCAGACGGTCGGCTCTGTGAGCGCCAAGACCGGCTGAAGGTGAGACCAGGGCCTGAGGGCGGGGTGGGGGGGGGGTCTGGGGGAAGCAGGGTGGGCAGCCAGAGGGGTGCCGAGCCCCTCCTGCCCCGGCCCTGGGTCAGGATGCTTGTGAGTACTGGGAATCCCATGGAAGGGGCTGGTCCATGGTGGGCAGAAACTACTTCGTTGTGGCTGTCAGAAGACGGTGTCCAGAGGCTCCTGACCAGGACCCTTTAGCCCAACAGCTGGGCACGTGGCTTGGCTAACTCTCCAGGGGCCAAGACGCACGGTGTCCTCCATGGTTGCAGCCCAGGTCTGTGCAGGGCTGGGCTCCTCAGAAGCGAGGAGAGGCTGGGGGGCCAGAGCAGTTTCCAGCCTGGCAACTGGGCATGGTGCAGGGAGGTAGTCACTATGGCTAGGCTGGTGTGAGGGAGGACAGAGCCACCTCCCTGTCCCTGTGGTGCTCAGGATGCCCTCCCCTGAGGGGTGTGCGATTCCGGTGTTATGCACACTTTGGCCCTAAGAGGCCACCCTCCCTGGTAGCTGTTTGTGCTTGAAGGGGGCGGTGGTCAAGGCGAGCGGAACCCCCTCCTCCCCCTCCCGCTCACAGCCACTGTGTCCTTGCTCTGCAGTGCCCTTTCCATGGCAAGATCATTCCGAGGGACGACGAGGGACGGCCGCTCGACCCGGAGGAGAGGGCCCGGGAGCAGCAGCAGCAGCGGCAAAAGCAGGAGCGCCCGGGTATGTCTGGGCAGGTGGGCGGGGTGGGCGCCACGGGAGGCACTGCCTCCGGCTGCCCGGGTTGTGTCTGCGGAGTCACGGAGCACCTGCTCTGCCAGCGTGGTCTGCGGTGCTTACACAATCCTCAGTCCTAGTTGGTAGAATCCGGAGGGGTGCTGACCAAGCGTCCTGGGTTTGGGGGTTCCAGGGGATGCTCCAGCTTAAGGGGGAGTCACATGTTCATGAGACCCCGACCAGGAGGTGGGCACCCAGGGCCCCGAAGCCACAGGTGCCGTCTGTGTGGCTGGGTTCTGCTTCCTCGTCGTGTGTTCAGGCAGGTGAAGGCCTCGAGGCAAGAGAAGTGATCACACTGAGCCCAGAGTGCCTTCCAGGAAGCCCTCTGGCCTCCGCAGTGCCCTGCACCTGCCTCGGTGTGCAGGTTGCCACAGCTCTGTCTAGGCCCTTGCTGTGGTGGCAGGAGTGCAGGTGCCAGAGGCCCTGGACAGCAAGCCCACTGTGGAGCAGCACTGCCCCAACAGCGGGGCCCATGCGCCCGCCCTGCCTCACCCTGGCAGAGGTGCGTATCTGCTTTCCAGGGAAGGTTGGTTTTTGGAGGTCCTGGCAGCCTCGGGCTCCCTCTCTCTTACTTTTTAAATCTTATTTTAACTCTTAAATTTTATTTTTTATTTTTTTGGAGGCAGGGTCTCTCTATTCATCCAGGCTGGAGTGCAGTGGCGCAATTATGGCCTCCCAGGTTTGAGCGATCCTCCTGCCTCAGCTTCCTGAGTAGCTGAAATTACATGCCACCATGCCTAATTTTTGTATTTTTATTTTAGTAGAGGTGGGATGGCGCCGTATTGCCCAGGCTGGTCTTGAACTCTTGGTCTTGGGCGATTCTCCTGCCTCAGCCTCCCACAATGCTGGGAGTACAGGTGTGAGCCCCCCCTGCTACACAGCCTTGCTCCTTTTTGGAGTGACAGCGCCTGAGGCCTGGACCTGGCCCAAAGCGGGGGTCACACCTTGTCTTGAAGAGCAGTGCTGGGGCCCAGCGTCCCTTCCAGGCTGTCTCTGCCATGGCTTCTGGCATCTTGCTCTCCAGTCATGAGAGGCAGGTGTTGAATGCAGCCTGACGCCCAGAGGCAGCGGCTTGGCCTGGGCGCTGGGGAGGGGCCTGACCTGCTAATCTCCAGGCCAGGCCTTCCCTGGTGGCCCACACTCAGGAGCAAATTAAGTGCCTATTTTTTGTGTCAACCCTGAAGAGTATCTGGTTTTCCAGCCCTTGGTGACTTGTTAACAAACAGGTATCAGGCCGCGGGCTGCGGCCGGCGCTGGCCAGTCAGATGTGAAATAGCATCTCTTTACTAACTACAGTATTGATCCCCGCCTCCCTTGCGCACGGGGCAATTTTCCTTTCCCTGGCGCTAACCTCAGTGACAATGTGCGTGGTGCTGCAGGCCCGTCAGCGCCCAGGAAGGCCGTGCGGCCCCAGCATCTATTGATTTTCCTCAAAGGCTTTTAAATTGCTCCTTCATTTCACTGAGACGCTCGCTCCATCTCTACTGGGTGCCGGCGCTTTTTCGTTGTGTTTAAACAATTGCTCCATTCACTGGGTTCCTAAACTGTGACGCCTTCTTATTACTGGGAGATAAACTGTTTGGACGGTTTTCCTTAATCTTGGATTAATCGTTCCTGTATCTGAATTGTGGGCCCCGTATTCCTTCACTTCAAAGAATCCGCTTGGGGAGGCCAGGCCATCCATCTGAGGCACAGGTATCCTTCTGGGGATGTGCCCCTGTGGCCTGGCCCCACTGGCCCAGCTCGTGGGGTCCTGTCTGCAGGGTGCCTCAGACCATCAGTGCCTAGCCCCCTTTCTGTGAGCCAGGGTTGTCTGTAAGTCCCTCTGCCATCATGATCCTGTCAGGGGTGGCCTTCCTGAGCCCGACCAGCACGACACCTGGTGGATGCCCACCACTGCCTTGTATGAGGAACCCCACAGGAAGCCTGGGCCTCCGAACCTCGAGGGCCTTGGTGCCGCTATGTGGTGGGTGCTCTCAGCCTGCAAGGCTGCTCAGTGGGCTGGGGACATTTGTGTCCCCTCACTGCCACAGGGCCTCAAGCAGACAGTGCCTGGCTTGCTTGGGAAGGGCAGTTCCATCTAGGAGAGCCCACTAGGCATTTCGAGGCCCACGGCCAGGTCATCTTGAGACCAAGTGGAAAGAAAAGCTCTTTGCCGACCGTCATGCTCGGCCCAGCTCTGCCACATGCACCTCCCCAGCAGCAGGCGTGTCCAGCAGGGCCACAGTTGGCCCAGCGGCGCGCAGTCCAGCCTGCAGGCAGGGAAGGAGCTTTCGTATGGCGCCAACCCTCCGACTGCTGGCCTTGGGTGCCTTCCAGCCTTGGAGGTCCATAGGTCCATGGCCCTAGGACTGACCTCTGGGCCCAGGCCCAGCTCCCACCTCTGTGGGCTGCAGGGGCCTGTGGGGGTGCAGGGCGGTGGGAACTAGCTCTGTGCCACCTTCACTGCACGGTGGCCTGCGTGCCTGCCCTCCTCAGCCTGCTGCTTAGGGAATGCGAGTTGCCAGCACAGAGCATCCTCTCGGGCCCACTGGTGCCAGGGTATGGGCATGGGCAAGCTGGCCTGGCCCCCCATCAGAACAAGACCAAGAGCCCTACTGGGTGCCTCAAGACTCTGGCTGGTGCTAGGCATCTCCTGAAGTTCTTGGGCTTTGTTTGCAGAATGGCAGGACCCTGAGCTGATGAGAGACGTGGAGGCAGCCACGGGGCAGGATCTCGGCTCGTCCAGGTACAGCGGGCAAGGCCGGGGGAAGAAGAAGAGGTACCCCCACCTGACCAACCTGAAGGCCCAGGCTGACACTGCCCGCGCTCGCATCGGGAGAAAGGTCTTCGCCAAGTAAGAGTGGCTACTGGGTCGCCTCCCACCACGCGGTCCCCAGAGTGAGGGTATTCGAGGGGGACCATCTGAGTTCCAGGATATTCCAGGAACCTGGGGCCTCCAGGAGCTCCCCTGCTGTGCGTTCCCCTGGGTGACCACCCGGCCTTTCCCCAGGGAGGGGCAGTGCCAGCCAGCAGGTGCAGCAGGCCGGGTCTGGTCAGGAATGCTCCTGAGTGCTCCCCGGGATAAGAGGGGCTTGACCACCAGGCACCACCATCCTCGATTCCTGGGGAAGCCGTGCCAGGACACAGGCTTCTGCTGGTGCAGAGTGAGCCCCTGATCTCGCCCTTGCCTGGCTGTGCCCCAGGTCAGCGCCTGCATATTTCTGCAGCGGTGACTTCGGGGAGGGCAGTGACTGCAAAGACTGGCAGAACAGAAGTCTACGCATCAGCCCCAGCAGAGCCCACCCTGGTGTGGCAGCTCTGAGCACTGACTCTGGGAGGCTGGCCTGGTGTCTCTGCAGCCTGGTGAGGCCTTGGCAGGGCCAGAGTGCGAAGCCCCCCAGCCCGGCGCCCCCGTGTGCGACCTGTCTCCCGAGGCACAGCCCGGCGCCCCTGCGTGCAGCCTGTCACCTGAGGCACCAGCCACTTGCAGGGCACTGTGTTTCTCTCTTCTCATTGCCTTGCTTTCCTGGAGAAAATTGAGAGTGCTTGTTTAGAAGCACCTGAGACTGTTGAGCCCCTCCCGAAGCTGTGCCAAGTCCCTGCTGGCGCAGGTTTGTCTGGAAGTGCCAATATGGTGGCCCCCACCCGTCGCCATCCCAGAGACCACTCTTGGACACACGTGGAAGGTGCTAAGTGCAGGGAGCAGAAGAGGCGCCTCCTGGCCAGCATGACCGTGCACCCTCCTGAGTGGGCTCGGGAGGGTGGGGAGGTGCCTTCACCACACCCAGACAGCTTCCCCTGGGCTGGTGGGCAGTGCATCCACAGTCTTGCTTGGGTGGGGCAGCGGTGCTGGTGTGGGCTGCAGAGAGGCTGACTGGGGCCCCTGGCACAGGGCTGCACCCATCATGTCTGCCAGCCATCCAGGGTGCTTGGCCCCTGGTAGCTCAGGGTGAGGCTGTTTTCCTGTGGCTCAGCAGGGGCAGAGGCAAGCCTGTGTGCTGACGCCCAGGAGGAAGAGTAGCCAAGGGTCCTGTGCTGGGCTCCTCGTGACTCATGGGGACAGCGAAGCCCATGGCAGGAGCTGGCTTTTCACAGTAGCTGTGTAGCCCAAAGCCCTCCCTGCAGAAAGGACCCAGGGTGACCGCAGGGTGAACCCTGCCTTGAGGGGCCCCATAGCAGTTCCTGGCAGTCCCACAGGGGCTGCAGTTGAGTGGCAGCATAGCCACATTGTGGCCTCAGGCCCTGCTGGCTCCAGACCCTTGTGCGCCACAGCACCTGAGCTGCCCACACAACACACCTTGTCCCGCGCCTTCCCTGTCGCAGCCATGGCCCCGCGTTTCCAACCCATGTGTGCAGCAGCGGGCAGGGCTGCCCTGACACCTCCTGGCTGCATCTCCTGCAGTGCCGCTCCCCGGGAGGCCAAGGGGGCCCTCATCCTGGAGTATGGGAGGCCACGGGAGAAGTGCCAAGGTGGGGTGGGGCCACCTTCACCATGCAGAACCACCCACCTCAGACCCCGGCACTGGGACCTGGGGTGGCCCTTTCCAAGCCTGTCTGTCTTGGGACAGGCCAAGGGACCAGTGACCATCTGTCTCTGAAGGTGGCAGCTGCAGGAAGTCTGTCAGTGTCTGAGGGCAGTCCCCGCCCCAGGACCAGTGCTTAACCCTGATGACTCCCCTACTGGGAGCCCAGGCCCCTGGGGGAACCTCCCAGGTCACATGTTACCTCTTTTTCCCACAGGGCAGCTGTCCGGAGGGTAGTTGCAGCCATGAACCGGATGGACCAGAAGAAGCACGAGAAGTTTTCAAACCAGTTCAACTATGCACTGAATTAGAGAGCTGGGCCCAGGGCACCCTCAGCACCTCTTCTCCCTCTGCCAGTGCCTTAGGACACCAGAGTGGGCATGGGTCTGGGCAGTGACCATGCTTTGTCTATTACTGTGTTTGATGTAAAGAAGTGGTATTAAAATGCCCTGAAGGTGGGGCTCTCTGCTGCTGTGGGGTCCAGCACCATCTGCTGACGGGTCTGGCCTTGCAGAAGAGGCCCTTGAGCCTGGAGATGTGAACCTGGGCAGTGAGCCTGTTCCCAGAGGGCGCCCAAGAGTTCTTGTGGGGCCAGTGCCTGTGGTGGGGCAGAAAGTGCGCGCAGCTGTGCCTTCAGAGCCCGCATGCCCAGCCAGGAGGCCACCGCTCAGAGGAGCTCTGAGGAAGCCCACTTCTGTGCAAATGCTGTTTTTAACGCAAACACCAAGGCTAGGAAACCATTCACTCACCTGCTTCTGTTTCTGGTTGTGCCTTTTCATACAATGTGTGGTCTTTTGTGTGCTAAAGACTGATACTGAGCATGTTCTCACGTGCCTCCTGGCCACTCATGTCTTCTTTGGAGAGGAGCCTATTCAAATCTTTTTCCTATTTGTAATTGAATTGTCTGTCTTGAGTTGTAACAGTTTTTTTTTTTTTTTTTTTTCTTTTAGAGATGGGCTTTCACCCTTACCCAGGCTGAGTGCAGTGGTACAGTCATAGCTCACTGCAACCACAGACTCCTGGGCTCAAGCCATCCTCCCTCATCAGCCTCCCAAGTAGCTGGGACTACAGGCACACGCCACAACACTTGGCTAATTTTTTAAATTTTTTGTAGAGAGGAGGTCTCACTGTGTTGCCCAGTGTGGTCTCAAACTCCTAGCCTCAAGCGATCCTCCTGCTTCAGTCTCCCAAATGGTTGGGATTGCAGGCATGAGCCACCGCCCCGGCCACGAGTTCTGTATATCATGAATACTAGATCCTCATGATTCGCACAAACTTTCTTCCATACTGTCATTTCACTTTCTGGATAGTGTCCACTGAAGCACAAAAGTTAATTTTGATGAAGTCCAGCAGTTTGATCTGTTTTTTTTCTTTTGTTGCTTGTGTTTTTACTGTCACATCTCAGCAGCCATTGCCCAATCCGGAATCAGAGATTTGCACCTGGCTTCTAAGAAGCATGTATAATTTCAGCTCTTAGGTGTCGATCTTGGCCCGCTGTGAATTAGGCTTTGTGTGTGGTGTAAGAGCCCATATTCTTCTGCATGTGGATATCCCACATGCACCGTTCGTTGGAAACATTATTTTTCCCTATTGAATTATTTTGGCACCCTTATTGATAATCACTTGACCGAAAAGGTACAGGTTTATTTCTGGGCACTTTGTCCCATTGACCTGTTTAGCCTTACGCCAGCACCACAGTGCATCGGTCAGTTTTCCTTTGTTCTGTTTCAAGGTTGATTGACTACTCTGCATCCCATGCATTTCCAAATGAATTTTAGGGTCTGCTCATCAGTTTCTTAAAAAAAAAAAAAAAAAAGGCAGCTGAGATTTTGATAGGAACTGCATTAAATCTGGAGATTGCTTTGGGATGTATTGCATCTTAATGTTAAATCTTTTGAGTCATGAGCTTCTGACTATCTTTGCATTTACTTGGGTCTTTTAAAGTTGATTTCAACAGTATTTTGTTGTTTTCAGTATATAAGTCTTACACTTATTTTGTTAAATTTACTCATAAGTGTTTTATTCTTTTTGGTTTGTAACCAAAAGGATTATAAATGCAATTATAAATTATTAAAAGATTATAAATTGCATTTATAAAAGCAATTGTAAGTTTATTTTTTCTCTGAATTCCATCTTGGGACTGGTCACTGCTAATATGTAGAAGTACAACTGACTTTGTATATTGATCTTGTATCCTGCATTCCTTGCTGAACTTGTTTATTCTATTCAGTTTTGTGTTCCCTCAGATTTTCCATACACAGAATCATGTCATCTGCAAACAGCTTTCTTTCTGGTCTGGATTTCTTTTGTTTCTCTGACCTAATTGCTCTGGTTAGTACCTCCAGGACAGTGTTGAATAGATGTGGTGAGAGCAAGCATCCTTTTCTTACCCCTGATCTCAGTGGGAAGCTCTCAGTCTTTCACCCTTGAGTTTGATGCTCTCTGTCAGGTTGAAGAAGGTACATTCTGCTCCTAGCTTGTTGAGTGTTTTCGTCATAAAGGGTTGAATTTTGTCCTTTTTCTCCGTCTTTTGAAATGATAGTATGATTCTTGTCCTTTATTCTGGTGAGGTGGTATGTTACGTTGTTCTCATATGTTGAACCGACCTTGTGTTAATGGGATAAATTCTGCTTGTTCATGGTGTATGCCCTTTCTCTGTGCTGCTGGATTGCTTTGCTAGGATTTTGCGTCTGTGTTGAGGAGGGATGTTGGTCTGTACTCTTGTGATGTCCTTGTCTGGCTTTAGCCACGTCAATACTGACCTCAGAGACTGAGGTGAAAAGTGCTCCCTCCCCTCTTATTTTTTGGAAGAGCTGTGAAAGACTGTTGTTAATTATTTAAACATTTGGTGGAATTTACCGGTGAAGGCTGGACTTTTCTTTGTGGGATTGTTTTTTTTTTTCCTAATTCAGTATCTTCACTTACAGATCTGTTTAGATTTTCTGTTCCTTCTTGAGTTAGTTTCAGTAGTTTATATCTTTCTAGGAGTTTGTCCCTTTCTAGGTTATTTGTTGCAGTCTGTTTACATAAAATTGTTCATAGCATTTAAAAAATTATTTTTGGCCGGGCGCAGTGGCTCAAGCCTGTAATCCCAGCACTTTGGGAGGCCGAGGCGGGTGGATCACGAGGTCAAGAGATCGAGACCATCCTGGTCAACACGGTGAAACCCCGTCTCTACTGAAACTACAAAAAATTAGCTGGGCATGGTGGCGCGTGCCTGTAATCCCAGCTACTCAGGAGGCTGAGGCAGGAGCATTGCCTGAACCCAGGAGGCGGAGGTTGCGGTGAGCCGAGATCGCGCCATTGCACTCCAGCCTGGGCAACAAGAGCGAAACTCCATCCCAAAAAAAAAAAAAAAAAAAAAATTATTTTTAACTGACAAGGTCTCACTCCGTTGCCCAGGCTGCGGTGCAATGGTACAATCATAGCTCACTCCAACCTCAGACTTATGGGCCCAAGTGATCCTCCCACCTCAGCCTCCCCAGTAGGTAGGACCACAGGCATGCACCACCACATCCAGCTACTTTTCCTTGTCTTTGTTTGGTTTTGTTTTGTTTGAGACAGAGTCTCACACTGTCACCCAGGCTGGAGTGCACTGGCGCGACCATGGCTCACCGTAGCCTTAACCTCCCAGCTTCCTGAGTAGCTAGGACTACAGAGGCATGTCACTACGTCTGGCCAATTCTTTTAAATCTTATTTTTGGTAGAGATGGGGTCTCACCATGTTGCCCAGGCTGGTCTCGAACTCCTGGCCTCAAGAAATTTTCCCATCAGCCTCACAAAGTGCTGGGATTACAGACATGAGCTACCACACTCACCCCTAATTTTCTTTAAATTTTTTTGTAGAGATGGGATCTTGCCGTGTTGCCTGGGTTGGTCTCAAACTCCTGGCCGGAAGTAACCTTCCCACCCTGACCTCTCAGAGTGCTGGGATTGGGATGTGAGCCCCGCCGATTCAGAGTGTCTTCTGGTTTTAAGTCATTCTTCTCTCTTTCACTCCGCCTAGTCAGTCCAGCTAAAGATTTATCAATTTTGTTGATCTATTTGAAGAAACAGTTGGTTTTATTATTCCCTGTGATTTTTCCATTCTTTATTTTGTTAATTTCCACTGTGATCTTCATTATTTCCTTTGGATTGCTTTGAGTTTCATTTTCTCTTCTTTTTCTTGTTTCTTAAGATGGAAAATTGACTTATTGATTTGAAATCTTTCAGTCTAGATAGAATACAGAAACCTTTCCATTTATATAGCTATACATTTTTATCTGAGTGCTGATTTATTTCATCCCCTAAGTTTTGGTATATTACGTTTTGCGTTTTTTAAATCTCAAAGTATTTTCTGATTTCTCTGGTGATATCTTTTACCTCTTGGTTATTTAAGAGTTTGTTGTTTAATTTCCACATATTTGTGAATTTCCGAAATTTCCTTCTGTTACTGATTTCTTTTTTTGCTTTTGAGAGACAGGATCTCACTTTGTCTCCCAGGCTGGAGTGCAGTGCCATGATCACAGCTCACTGCAGCCTGACCTCCCACCTCAGCCTCCCAAGTAGCTGAGATGATAGGCATGCACCACCATGCCTGGCTAAATTTTTAAAAATTTTGTTGTAGAGACAGGGTCTGACTATGTTGCCTAGGCTGTGTGGAAATCATGGGCTCAAGCGCTCCTCCTGCTTTGGCCTCCCAGAGCATGAGCCACTGTACCTGGCCTGTTACTGATGTCTTATTTCACTCCATTGTGGCTAAAGAACATACACTGTATGATCTCCTTTCTTTTATATGTACTGAGAGTTATTTTATTGGTGTACCATATTTTCTGTCCTGGAGTACTGAAGAATCTCTCTCCTGCTTCTGTGGGGTGGTGTGTTCTGTAGATGCCTGTTAGGTCTCCTTGGTTTATGGTGGCGTTTGTCTTCTCTTCCCTTCCTGATCTTCTGTCTAGTTACGTTGGTGTTGAATGTGGCGTATTGAGCCCTTCAGTTGTGTCAGCTTTTGTTTGACACATTTCCAAGCTCTGTCAAGTGCATCCGTGTTTCCATCTGATGAACAGACTCTTTATCATCCCGACATGTGCTTCTCTGTCTCTAGTAAAAAAGGTTGTTGCAAAGTCCCTTTCATCTGATACAAGTAGAGCCACTCTTTTGATTATTGTTTGCATGGTATCTTCTTTCATTCTTTTATTTTCATTGTATCTCTGAATCTAAAGTGTGTTTCTTGTAGACAACATATAGTGGGTTATGTTTGTAATCTATTCTGCTGGTCTCTGCTGTTTGAGAGGGATGTCTAATCCGTTTACATTCAGTGTGATTACGGAGAAGGCTGGATTTATATCTGCCATTTCTAAATTTGTTTTCTATATTGTCTTTTTGGTCTTTCTTCCTGTATTCGTTTGTGTGTGTGTGTTAAATGGACATTTAATTCTATTGTAACATAGTAATTTCCTTGTCTGTTCTACTAGGTTTTTAAAAAGTAATTTTCTTAGGGCTGCTCTGAGTATTACTGTAACAACTTAATCAGGTGTTCAGATGAGCTTAATAATAATGTACAGAAACCATGGCTTTGTTTCCTGTCAGCTTCCTGGTGCTATTTGTGTGGTACAGATGCCACCTCTTAGATGTAAGCCCATCAGCAGTCTCGTGATTACTGCTTTGTGCCCTTCTCTTTTAAGTCACGTGGAAGAGGAAAAGACGTAGGAACAGAAGTGAGTTGCTGCCGTCTCTGTCGCTGGCTTTGCCATTGTCTCTCGGGT